ACCTATCATTTTAGAAGATGAATCTTTCCTGTCTGAAAATTTCAGATTGGCAGGACTCAGGAGTCACACTAAGAGGGCCATAGGTAATATCTCTTTCCCACCTAAATTCACAGATTGCCAGTAAGAAATAACTGTGAAACTCATATTGCAAATGATGAGATTTACAGTCTTTGAAAAYGTGACAGATTTTTTCCCCATTCTGACTTGAGTGCTGAACAGCAGAGGAGGTGCTATAAAACACCTAGAGTCTATCACACCCTCTATTCTGTGTATCTTCCTTCCCAGCWGAGTTTAGAAGGACATGCAGGACAAGCCTGCAAAGCCCATAAACCATGAAAATTTGCTCCTAGCCCAATTAATTAACCTCTGATTAACAAAATTATTCCGTTCCTCCCCCTCATGTTTTATTTTCTTCATTTTATGATTCGAGAAGAGAACCTATTATGCAAACCCAGGAACCAAACAAGGCCTGTTTCTTCAGAGAGTCTGATCAAGGTAACATTGGATAATCACAGGGCAAAGCCTAAAACCCAATCTGAGAGTAGCTAAAACCTGAAAATGAGCTAACAGGAATTGCTTATTTATGTCTGGAAGTTCACTTATGTAAAACCTGGAGTACTTCACTAAATTCCTCCTCAGGCAAAAAGATCAAGTAGGCTCACTGAAGTGAGCAGGAATTATATGCAGCTGAGAAACCAAAGGTTTTCTATACATTTCCTGTGTAGGTGTTCCTACCTTACAGCAAGATCAGTGAAAAAAAAAAGAATTTCAAATTCAGATTTGCAAGGGCAGCCCCATGAAGCTGGCAAAATGGCAGGCCCTGCTGTTACACATTCTTTCTGTCTTCTGTTGCTATACATAAAATGTACATCAACATGTCCTCTGACATGCTTACTTTGCTTGTTTTTCTGTATTTAGGATTTCTATACTTTTCAGACTGCTGAAAATAGTGTTTAATTAGATCTTACACCTTCTCTGCTTTTACACACAAAGGTACCTGACTCCTGAAAGACAGGCCTTGCCTTGCAGCCACCATTTAACAACAGCTATTGTCAAATTAATGTTTTCAGGTGTTCTATTTTCACATTTATCTTCTGCCAGAAATACTGCCTGGCATGATATTAAATAAAGAAAAAAAATATTCTAGCTAATATGTGACAGCAATCACAGCAAACAGAAGTCATACACTTTGAGAACGTCATTATAAGCTGATCATCTTTTAAAAATATTTGACAAAAAGCTCCTGGGTCTACTTTAGCAGCTGAACCTGAACTCAGCGAGGAAGTGACTGAACAGAATCAGACATTCTCATTAAGTAAAATTAGCCAAGTGCAATTTGCCTGGCTGGTTCCTTCTATGCATTAGCATTTATATTCAGTCAGTGACGCGCTTAATCAGGTTCTTCGAACAAAAAGGAAAAATCTCCGCAAAACCCRTAAACCTATCAGGTTTATTAGCAACAGTTTGCACTTCCATTGTAAAAAGGCAGTTAAGAAACTRAAGAAAATTGTCTGTTCAGAAGTGTATCTGAGCAGCTCCCAGCAATCTTTGCTCTAGCAGGAACAWGACCTCAAGTATGTGCTGTTGATTGCCATCACATTGACTGGAGACAAAGGGAGATGTTTCATCAAAGGGCAAATGCCAGGAGGCTACAAAGAGCTGCCACAGGGCCTCACTGGAAGGGACAGCYCTGCCCTCTGATTACAAAGATTGTAGCACAAGGTCTTTTCCMTCTCTCCATAAAGAATGCATCTCAAAGAGCTGTCAGGCCCAAAAAACAGAAAAAGAAATGCAGTGGCATCCAAGGAGATAAGAGCCAGCAACAATGCTGATGTGCCAAACACAGAGCAGAAAGAACCCCAAAGCCTGATGTGCCAAACACAGAGCAGAAACAACCCCAGAGAGCCTGGTCCTGCTGGAGGGCACACCTGGAACAAAAGCAGCAGAACTGAGGGTGAGAGGCAGCAAAAGGGCCCAGAGGTGGCAGGAAGGTGCATGAGAGGTGATACYTCCATCAAATGTAACCCCACAGACCTTCTAAACATCAGAAAGGAAGCAAAAAAAACTTGGTAGATTTTAAGACAAGCCATGGAAAGCAGAACTGGTGAATAAAAAAAAAAGGTTCCACACAAATAGCTTGTTTTATAAAATTCAATGTCAATGAATTTCTATTACTTGGCAATACCCTGTCAGACAGCTGGGCACAAAGTATGCCCAACACATGCTGAGAGCTTTGAAATTTGTTAAAAACTCTGCCTCAGTGCATCCTGGTTTGCAAAGCACTATAGCAACAAAAGCTGGCCAAAGGCACAGCGTTGCTGCAGCATTCCCATGTGCACTGCACACCTACGAGGTACTAGAAAAACAGCACCCTAGTGACAATCAGCCCAGAATTACAGTTTGTAACCCCAGTCATTTTCTTAAGGCAGACAGCTTGCTTTATCTGGGCAGCACAAAATGAGGCTTTGACCCTCTGCTGTTTTTCTTCCTTGGGTCCATGGCTAACTGCTCTCTTTACAGTACGTTTCTATAGTGACCAAATGCTCAGCTGATACTCAATATATTTCCCTTTTCACCTGCCATACTTCAAATTTGGAAACTCAGATTGTTATCTAAACAATATTCCAAAATCTTGCCCTCAGGCTGAGGTAAATGGCATGGTGGAGACTTCATCACTCTAACTTCCCCAGCTCTTGCAAGAACAAACAAATTCAGCATTTACAGATGAAAGAAAATTTATCACAGCTCAGTAACAATTACTTGAGAAGCCAATAAATAAGGGACCGGGAAGAAACAAATTCCCAGTATCTCAGAGTAGTACCAGACTCCTCCTTTCAGGCAAGCATTTCATTTCTTCAGCAGCTTTTTGACTGTTTGTTGTGCTTCATCTGGATTAGGAGCATTTTGCCTCGAGTGCAGCCCCTTCCTAGGGAGTACCAAGCAGGACAGGTTTTACAGGAGGATAAAGCTCTGTGATCCCCAAAGGAGACAGGGGAGCCCATTTTCAAACCAGTCAATTTGGCAATGAATCATYCTCCCAAGATAAAGACTAAAAACATTAAGAGGGGAAGACAGTAGATAGAAGTAATGCAGAAAAAAAAAAAATTAAAAATCAGCTGGCTTGAGTTTTACACATGCAAATAAACATCATGAGAGGCGAAATAAGAATGAGATGTGAATACTGTGCAGGAAGATCAGGTGTATCTGTCTTCCTGGAAGCTGGAAGCAGGAAGATATTAAACTGTGCTTTCTGCTAAATTGCTGCTGCCAGTTATTGACAAAGTTGTCAATTATCCAGGATTATTYAGACTGATGATACCTGAAGAAATGAAGATTTAGAAACACTTGGGACTAAAAGGAGAGATAGGAATGCTCTGCAGATGATAAATGGAGTGGGTTAAAAGAAAAAGAGCAAAGAGGCCAGTTTCAGAGGGTATATAAATACCCCTAATTAGCATATTACACTACTATAATGAAACCTACTTTCAAAGTTGGATTTTGGAAAATAAATGCAACTGAGTGGATGAAAGACTAGGACCCTTCTACGCCATAAGACTGGCATAAAATTTATTCAGATAACTTCTATTTTGCTAATGTTTAAATAATTATACTTACRAATAGCACTGACTGCCTAGGTCTGCAGTAAGATATTATGTCACCATTAGACAGATTTTACTGAAATTGGTCAGCCCATGCATTAGGGAAAGAGAACAGTGTTTGATTTCAATAGTTCAGTAATCATGCAGCTTAATGCACATGGATAAAGCAGGTTCCAACATGTAAAAGTTATGCAGAACTGGCACCACCATGTTTTTAAATTGGTCCAAGAATAAGAATTTATTTTAAGCGTGGATTTGTAAAGTGTTTTGAAATTCTTGCAAGAAGCTGCTTACCATATCACAAAGTTCTGTTCTATTAAAAACACACCCTGCTGGAGTAAGAGATATTTAGAGATATTTGCTATAACAATTTTTTCAACAGAATGGAAGATATTTCACTGTGTTCATAAGAGAACAAAGTGACCTCTGATCTCTGAAGCATGATAAGTAGAGTTCAGCCTTCTTCTAATCAAACCTGAAACTGAAATATAGTTGCCTGTTTTGTTTCAGACTTCTTCTGTTCTACAAATGATTCTGCTCTGTTCTTAGGGTTTGGAATAACACTAATTTTTAGACCAAGGAAAGATTGTAAAAAAAAGGCTGTTTAAGAGCAGTATTCTATTAAGACACCTCTAGGAAAAATCCTTTTCCTTTGTTAAAAATATAAACACAAAATTTGATAATATTTTTGCCCCTTTTATTAAAAACAGTCATTACAGGTGACATACAATTTGCAAAGACATATATGATTATATCTCTACTTTTAAGGAAACTATTTACAAACTAYTACAAAGTAACCCCAGGTGTGCAATTACCGGATTCTGCACTGGTTTTTCATACTGAAAACTTCTGGTTTTCTTTCAGTTGTCCACGTGATTCTAATTTTTGCTTGCCTGTGTGATCAACAACAGCACATTGGCTTCAAATACATTTATTTTAGACGTCTGTAAGCACCCACAGTGTAAAGCTGCTCACAGTAACTGCTGTAGGATATCAGACAGCAGTCTCCTTTATGTCTCTGCCATCCAGACTCGTCCTTTTGTACCACTTTTCACAGGGAAGGCTGTCACTCCAAGCCATTCACTTTGTTAACCAATGTTACACTACGAAATGCTTAGTGTGCTTCACTAAGAAAAAAGTTTTCTAAATCATTTATTTAAGGACCAGGGAAGAGGATAAATCTTACCCAGAGGAAATTCTCCAGAGCAGAAGTCTGTAGCAGCAGAAGGAGACACAGAGCCTCAGTAAAGACAAWTTTTTCTAAGCAAACCTACAGAAGAACTTCAACTACACAGCAGCTCTATTAACAGGGGGGAAGGGGGAAAGMAGTGTCCTTCCACAGTCATCACCCACATTCTCAACAGCACTACCTCAGGTAAAAGAGAATATCAGTCCATGTACCATGATCCATTGTCCCATTTCCTGCTCTGGTTTCAGGTCAACTGGAAGCTTCTTTTTTCAGTTTTTCTAAAATCTCATCTGGTGTYGTTGATACCAAAATCTTCACCACTTTGTCACGTGATTTACCTCCCTGGTTTAGACAAACACACAAAACCCCAWCTTTCAGAGAGTCACCCTTTCAGGCAAGAAAACAGTGCTATTTATAAAACATTGATAAACAAATCAAGCACTTTGCCCATGTTTCAGGAAAAACAGGACTCAAATATTTTCATCTCTATTTTYTGACAACACAGTGCCATTCCTTGGTCAACATACCATTTACTACTGCTCTTTAAAAGAGTTCTTCAACTACTCCATTAAACCAACAGATAAAAAAAAAAAAGCACCATTTTTCATTGTGCTTTTTGCTCATAAACTATAAATGAAAATGTCTGGGAAGACTGACTTCAAGTACAATGAATTAATAAAACAAATTATTTATTCAGTGCAATGAATAAAACAAAGAGTTTCCGCTCACCTGTCAAAGTCAAGACATGTAAATTTTAATAAAGAGAAACTCTTGAGGCCCAGCTACAACCCATTTGCTTACATATGCTCTTGCTTATTTATGACAGTTAAATGACAGAACTTTTTGACTCAAATGCACAAGTTAATTCTTTTAAAGTGAGAAGTTACGAATAAAATGCACATTCTCTGTAAAATACGAATTTTGTGAATGCATTTGACATGAAAACAAGAAAATCTTTGACAAACACAGAAAAAACAAACTACAGAAATTTGCAAAACATTATCACAACAYTCTGATTAAAAGATCTCAAGATCAGCCATAGTTCTTCCTACACTAAGTTTGTTCTCAATGAGTCAGCCCATTAACTCAACTAAACTTAATTTTAAGTATCTTTCAGACTGAACCTGTAGCAGATCCTGTACTCAGTGTGTAAGTTTCAAAACCTTGAACTTCAGTGGGGCAAAACTGAAAGAAAGAGGAAGTACCTTGTCTAGAATAACATCACTCTTCTTCACTTGTAGCACCTTAGAGAGGTAACGACACAGCTCTGCATTGGCCTCCCCTTCCGATGGAGGTGCAGCAATAGCTACACCTACTGCCTCAGCYGTCACATCTGCAACAAACAGTTTGAGACTTTTATGCTCAAAACATTCAAAATATCTCGTCATTATTTCCTAAAAATGAATGCTTATGCTTTCAAAAGCATTTTAACTTAAAACCTAATAAAGGTATAGAAGAGCAGGKGATGACATTTTCCCATTTCATAATCTCCCTGGACTCCCAGTACAATCAAATACAAACTCCTGACACTACAGCAGTGAAGCCTTGGTGCTGCAGCAGAGCACAGCAGTGAGACACCAACCTTCTCACCCCGGGGCACCGTTCTGAGCTCCTGCCCAGTGCCCACTGCTGCAGGTGCTGTCCCCTTGTCCTGCCCAGTGCCCACTGCTGCAGGTGCTGTCCCCTTGTCCTGCCCAGTGCCCACTGCTGCAGGTGCTGTCCCCTTGTCATGCCCAGTGCCCACTGCTGCAGGTGCTGTCCCCTTGTCCTGTGCAGTGCCCACTGCTGCAGGTGCTGTCCCCTTGTCCTGTGCAGTGCCCACCCGTTGCAGGTGCTGTCCCGCTTGTCCGGCCCAGTGCCCACCTACTGCAGGTGCTGTCCCACTTGTCCTCTCCAGTGCCCACCCGCTGCAGGTGCTGTCCCCTTGTCCTGCCCAGTGCCCACTGCTGCAGGGGCTGTCCCGCTTGGCACAGTCCCAGGACACCAATGGGGCTATCCCCGAAAAGGAGCAGTGGGCTCACAGTTACAGTGTCAGGAACCTCCCAGCTCCACAACGCGTGCAGCCCCAGCCCAGGGCTGTAGAGGGGGAACGCATTTTATCAGATCGAACTTCTCTGGCTCTAATAAAGCCGCACAGACTCTTGAGACAGTCTACACTAAAGCACATGGCAAAGTGAAGGGTTTAGGATCAGCATTTCCTCTGTGCTCACCGCGCCACCCAGTGCTGCCCACGGGAAACGCGAACGAGCTAGTGCCCAAAGCCGAACTTGCTGCGGTTTCCCGGTGGATTTTGTGGATTCCCACCTGTTCCGCAGGGTGCAGCGATGTGCCCCGGCCCCACACACCCACCTGTGACAGCGCTGCAGCGGGCACCGGGCTTGGCWCGCACCGCCACCCTCACGGAGCCATCGCCCGCCGCCACCACCGGTCCCGCGGCGGCGCCCGGCTCGCCGGGGCCCTTGGCGGCTGCTTTTCCCTGAAACAGAGCAACAGGCGCGGTCAGTGAGGGCAACACCCGGCCCTGCCCGCTTCCCCTCTCCCGGCCCTGCCCGCACCTTCCCGGGCATGGCCCCGCCGCTCCCCGCCGCCAATCGCACCCGCAGGAGCCCGGGGAYGCGGGGCATGGCCGGGAGAGYGCTTCCGGCAGGGCCAAGGAACCGCCCCGGGGAGCGTGCGCGCTGCGGAACGGCTGGACCCGGGCTACCGGCGRCRGCTCCGSTAYGSYACAGCCCGGCCCCGGGGAGCSTGCGCGCTGCGGMACGGCTGGACCCGGGCTACCGGCGGCGGCTCCGGTATGGTACAGCCCGGCCCCGGGGAGCCTGCGCGCTGCGGCACGGCCGGGCAGGGCTACCGGGGACAGCTCCGCTACGGCACAGCCCGGCCCCGGGGAGCCTTCGCGCTGCGGCACGGCCGGGCAGAGCCGGGCTACCGGCGGCCGCTACGGTACAGCCCCGGCTCCCGGCGGGAGCTCCGGCACAGCCCAGCCCCGGGCTCCGGCGGCAGCTCCGGTACGGCCCTGCCCAGCCCCGGGCTCCCAGTGCCCGCTCCGGCCCTGCCCGGGCCCTCATSCCCGTCTCGGAACAGCCCCGCTCCCGGGGCCGGGAGAGCGCTGGCGGAGCGTGCACGGAGCTGCGGTTTGATACACACACCTGTTCTACACACGGCCTTTGGACACYCCAAGCTGCGTCACCTTCCCCCCTTACAGACAGGAAAAGAGGAAATTTTCTTGTTTTTTCTCCTGCATTGTCCAGTTATTACTTTAGTAAGACTTGGGGCAGGATACAGGCCCTTGTACATGAAGAGGTTCTGTTACTACATGGTACATACTGCAAGACACTRGATACTATATACATACAGCAATTGCATCAAATTATTATAAGCAATCTGTAAAACTCGTTGCACACAAATAATCTTTAGGTTTATACTAATCTTTTAGTACTAGAATATACGATGAGAAAATAACATCATTACAAGTCTTGTATTCTCATTTTCACATTATACATTTTTATAGGCACGTATATACAGTGGCTATTTGCATAACCAGTTCTATATTCCAAAACAGCCCTTCTGAATAAAGAGATCTATTTGTTGCTGAATTCAACTTTATGTTTCTTCAGTGCAGCTGCAGATGTTCTCTGCAGTGCTAAGTCCATTAATTCTCCATGGCTCTTGGAAAAAGTCAAGATGATGGCAATATGAATCCAGCTTTGAAAATGTACTTAAAAAAATACAGTAGCAATCCGTGTTCATTGAGTCAATCCAAGGTCATTTTGGAAAGAAGTGCAAGATGGGACTACAGCAGCTTTACTGTCTTTTTAGGACAGATTGGAGAAAACATACACAAATTGTTCATAACAAGTAAAGATTTTCCAGTTCAAAAAATGAATTTTACTGCATGAGAAACAAAGAGGTGAAAACACAACTGATCACAAGGTACTATTTAAAACAAACTTTTCAATATACAGAATACTTATTCCACTTGACATTTTGTTTAGAGGAAAAGCTAAATTACCAATAACAATGAAAAAAAAACCAACAGAAAAACCCTTTTCTGGTACCCCTAAAACAAGTTAGTTTTGTTTTTACACATTGATGTAATTTCACAGAACTTTTTAACTGCTGCCAATTGTGAGCTGAAGTTCACTGAGATGCCATCAGATTCCAGATCATCGTGTGAAACTAAGTATAAAATATTATTTCTGGTATCTGTCCATCTTCTATTGATGTACCATTGTTGTTACCTGGTGAACTATAAAAGACAAAGCATGTTTTGCTAGCAGTAGGAGATTCGTGGATCACTTTCTTCAAACCTTTTGTTCCATAGTGGGAATCAGGACCCTGCAAAACATCACAAGAGATTATCAACTGCATGGAAGTGGGCAAGAGCCAAACACTGCTGACGTTCAAACACTACTGACTTGGGTTACTTCAGTAGTATRAAATTTCTGTACCCACATCATCTAAATTATATGCAAAATCACAGACAACAGAAACAARTGTCTGTCTAAGTAACAAAAAAAAATTTCTCTGACAGCAGACTTAAACCAGTTGATTTTATCCAACTAGTAAAGAATACTTTCTAGTATTTCTCCTTATCACACAGGTTCTCTATACTCTCACTTATTTCCCTATGTCAGCTGCTTTTAATGTGCAATATTTTTTTTCCAACCCACTCAACTCTGATTTCTGTACAGGGAATTATAAAAACATTAAAAACTTTCTGAGAAATAAAAAACAGTCCACAACACTAAGGGGAGACTTTGCYGTAACAAGTAATTCTTGCATATTATGTCAGCAATAGCATATAAAAAGTGATGATTCTGTTTTCTTCACTTTAGCTGGTGGTTAGACAATCCTTGATAAAAGAAGTCAAACTTAAATTTTAATASAGAGCTGTCAGATTACATATTCCAGATAGTGCTTTTTTCCCCACATAGAACCAGCGACTTCCATTAGAACTCATTCTAACTCCTACATCAAGCAAGAAAGGATCCAGTTGAGAATTCTATGCTGTGGCACAGCAGAGATGTGACAGTCGTACAAGTTACAGTGGAGTTTTAGCTGCAGCCTTCTTWAGCCGTAAACTTAAAATAAATTCAAGATCTAGAAGACACTTYCCCATCCGAAGACTGATAAAAGAACAGATCTTGCATCAAAGCAACACTTTCTTCTGTAAAGACATCCTTACTTTCAACGTTGCACAAGCAGTGTAGCAAACCGTGGGCAGAATCTCTATGGGCTCTTTGAACATCACTCTGAAGGTACTGGCTGTTCCATCACAGCTAAATCCAGTGTCATTCTGTCCTAGTGTCTGATTCTTCTCATAATCGATTATCTGCACAAAAGCATGAAAAGCAGTGGGTTTGTGTTTACACAAAAAGCATGAAAAGCAGTGGGTTTGTGTTCTGACTGTATGCACAGGAGAGGATGACATGCAAACACTTGCCTACCCCACCCAGTCTAAGCGGCAGGACAGTGCAATCCCAGCTGCAAAGGAGGTGTGATTTCCTGACAGCAGCAGCTGACGCAGCAGCTCCAAACCATGGAACCATGGCCTGCAACTTTTACAGAGCTKTGGCACTGCTCCAGCCACCTTACAGTCTTTGCTTGGGAGAGGAAGAACAGCTCTAAAACCTTCAGCTTGTGACCTTCACATCCAACATACAATGCTGTGCTTAGATGTGCTGATCTCTGCACACCTACACAGCCCACATGAGGGAAGCTCATTCGCTGCTGTGGCTAGTTTAGAAAACAAGTTTTTACAGATTACGTAAGTACTCAATGACACTATCATGAAAGAAAACAACTTGTGCTGGTATGTTTTGTACAATTTACTTCTAATCTTGATTCAATATAAAAATTACACCTCAGACTACACAATATTTATTTGGCCTTAAATTTCAATGGCAATAAGAATCACCAGTTCCAGTATAGTAAYAGCAGATACCTCACCTCCCATTTTGGATTGCAATCCTGATCCATGCTGCCCAATACCTCTTGCAGAAGTAGGGTATCAGAGCTTTAGAGTAGAGCACTTCTCGTGATTACTGCACTAAGAATCCTATCAGTTTGTACAGCTTATTATTAAACTGCCATGTAATTTTAGTATTATCCAAATGAGATGAAGCTTTATTCTAGACAAAACGTACTCTAATTTTTCTCCAGCCACAATCAATAGAAATATTAATAATTACAATGCTGAAGTCTTAAGCCTTTTTTACATAAAAGATGKATTTGCAGTATACATTATCACTATRTTYAACTCTCTAAAGCTCTGCTAGTACTCATGCACAGCCAAGAAGAAAGCTAGAGGCAGAAGACATAAATAACTGTCTGAAAAGATTGTGACAAATAAACTTCAGATTCATCAGTTATTAGGGACACTTCCAGGATAAAGAGAACCTATACAAGATGGATGGCCTTAATAGGAACCATAAAGGTTTATTTAGTCATTCAGACTGAATCAGGAGGGTCTTTTTCAAGTGATTCTTCTGATCACTCCCACTTAATATGCATTGGTTTGCTTTCAAAAAATCTAAATTCTCTTCAGATTAAATAAATCCAACAAACATCCTGAGGGAACACACCGAATGCTTGTATCTGCTAACAGGAATTCAGCTGAGAGACATTCAAAGAAGAGTTTATGTGGAGTAAAAATCCCCAAGTWTATGTCTGGATAGCTGCTAGGTTCCCAAGACCAACTCTTTTGTTCTAARATCTGCCTAGTGCATTATGCTGCTCATTTACATGGCTGCATAGTTTGAGAAAACCAAACCGAAAGCATTTCAAATCGAGGAATTTGCAAGTGAGCTTTTAAACAGAGGAATGTGGAAAAGCTAAATTCCTTCAAAACSTCATTCCAGATACATTCTGTTTGGAACACCATTAGGAGGAAAGACACATTTTTTCCATAGGAAACAGACACAAAATCCCTACCCTTAGATACAGAAGAGTCAGATAATAWTTATCATCAAAATAGGTAGCAGAAGAAAAACTGTCATTTCGACAGAATGTCCACCAATGAACTGACACAGCAATTGCAGCACATGCTACAAGTCTATAAAAGATAGGCACAATAGAATTTCTGCCCCTATGTGAAGTCACAGGCTATTTCACAAAATTTCCCATGCACCTAATAAATCAATGTGACATGACAGTACCAGGGTATGAAATACACAGCACAGGGTAAAACTGTGCCAGTCATGGAATACTAATACCTTGTTACAAAGCTTAGAATCAAAACAAAACTRATCTCAATAAGAAAAGGAATTCAAATTGACTGAAATTCCACACTTAAAAATGAAAAAAAAAAATGCAGTGCTGGATCAATACTACTAGAAGACAATTCTGACCACAACATGCTAAGGGATCAAACAGGCTGCAAGAGCAGGAAATACAATTTTAGTGGTGTCTTCAATTACCCGCTGGGACCAGGCAAGGGTCACACCAGGACATGAAGCAGGGGTGACATTTTTAGATGCTGTCACTGGCCACTTCACAGGCCTGCTAACCAATTGCTCAGCAGGACGAAATGCAACCCTTGATTTGGTACTGAGTGATGAACAGGATCASATTCAAAATTTCCTAATGGAAACACTATGTAACAGTGTCCATAATATACTTAGAGTCAACACTCCCACATGAACAACAAAAGCAAATCACCCACAGCTAATTTAAAATAAAAAAAAAACT